GGAGAGGTGTGAGGTTCGAACTCCAGCAACCTGAGGCTGACAGCTTTGTGGAAGCAGCCACTTAAAGGCCTGAGCTAGGGCCAGGCCCCCAAAAGCAGGGTTTAAAGTCTCTTGAAAAATTATGTTTTAAAAGTTTTATCCAAGAATACTTAATGCCATGCAGTTGACACTTGGTAGTTCCTTGATCGTACGTTTTATTTGATGTAAATTATTTGAGTAGCTATATAAGCTAATATTTTCAAATTGTACTATCTTGGGGCTAGGGAGTTAGCTCAGCAGTCTAAGCACCTGCTCAGCAAATGCAAAGAGCCAGGTTTGATCCCCAGTACTGCATGTTGTACTGGCCCCAGGACCCTGGTGCACTGTGCTGGCCACCAAAATTGAGCGTGGTTGCACTCGCCTGTAATCCCAGTTCTGGGGACACTAAGACAGGAGGATCACTATGAGTCTGAGCTGTGTAGTGAGACCCTGTACCAGATAGATAAATAAATAAATTAAACACAAAACAGAAAAACAAATCATACCGTGTTTTCCAACCTACCAGCATGCGTGCGTGCGTGTGTGTGTGTGTGTGTGTGTGTGTGTGTGTGTGAAATAATCTTACATCCCTGAAACCAGAGTTTTTTAACCACAGCACTTCATTGGATTCCTGTGGACAAGAAATAATTAATGTATTTTGTGGGACATTTGCATCTTTACAGTAGAACTTGCATACTGGAAGCACTGCAAAAAGAAAGTATTTGTATCAATGTTATGTAGGCGTAGCTAGTAATTTTGAGCACTTATCCCGCTGTAGGAAGGTATTTTTGCTTGAATAAGAACTTTTCTGATGCTTGCTCCAGGAAGGCAGTAATAACACATAATCTTGCATTCTCCACAGCAGATGTCTGTTGTTAGTAAAAATGTCTGTCCCAGTACATCTGTAATAACTCTCTTTGTTCTACGTGTTGCTCTCTCTAGATGTGTTTGTAAGCGTGCACTGACTTTAATGTTCATTGTAACATTTTACTCTTGCCACTGCCCGTAGCGCCGAAATCATTTAGCTCCACATTTACTTCAAAGTCCCTTTTCCTTGTCTCTGTAGGAAGTCCTGGCCACAATCAGGCTTCTAGATGTGCTGTGTGAAATGACAGCCAATACTGAGCTGCTGGGCTATCTGCAGGTCTTTCCTGGCTTATTGGAAGGAGTGATCGGTGAGTGAAATACCATGCACCATTTTCAGTTTACAAGTCTTTAGTTTGTCACATAGTAATATAAATCCAAACACAGATCATTAATTTTCAGTTTGAGATTTTCTGTGTGTTTGTGTTTGAGAGAAATTGGGGTGTTGCAGTAAGGCTCAGGCTGTGGACATGGAGCGTGCTGGGATGGCGTGGTAGGCCCGCTGCTCCCCTCTCGGCTGAGGCCGGCACCTGCTTGGTACACTGAGCACAGCGGGCCTGCCCTCTGGTCCCTGCAGTAGATGTTCCTGCAGGAGTGTGTGACAGTCAGGCTGTGGGGCGGAAGTTTATGACTGAGGTGTTTCTTTTTTAACTAATGTAGTTTTGTAAGATTTGATGGTAAATTTTTCCCAGTTACATTTATTGAACACATAAAAGTGTTTTACATATATCATAGTCTTGTAAGAAAATTGTTTTCAATAAGAAGCCATTTAAAGTGTCACTGTCTTTATTAGCAACTTATTTGCAGAATATACAGATAGGACCTATCTTGTATAGTTAGCCCATCACTCTATCGTATTGCCTTTGAAAAAGACATTTCTTCCTCTCGGGGGCCCATCCACTGGCAAAGGTGAGCTGCTGTGGCCGTGTGTCGTGGCAGGCGGGGGAGTCCATCCCGCATTGGTGCTGAATGCCGTGCTCTTGGTGATCAGCAGAATCAACCCTCCCCAGCCTGGGGTCACTGTGACCACCTGGGTTGCTGCCCCAGTTGTGCTAGCATGCTAGCTTCTCTGGGCCCGATTTCTTCCATGTAAGATTGGGAAGGTGGCGTCTGCTTTTCGTAGGTTTGCGTGAGGGTAATGAGGTGACAGGGAGCGTGCCTTGCCTTACCTGCTGGAAGACTGCGGTCTGAGGCCGCTCTAGGTGTTCAGGGGGTGACCGTGTTATTTCTTCTGATTGAGCTATTTCAGCACGCCCAGTCTCCGACAGGTGGCCCTCGAGCAAGCAAAAGCTCTTGGTTTTGCCCTAGTGGGTCACTACAGAAACATACTGGTACCTAGGCTTAGCTGCCTCTCTAGGAGATGAGTTCTGACATGAAGGAATTAGAATCGAAAAGCTCTATAAGAAAGATGCTGGAAAATTTTTAGTTATTCTTTGTGAATAAATAAAAATGCAAGTCAGAATAATCATTATGGCATCTGTCCCCAAAACCTAAAAATTATGCTATGGAGGTATAGTGCCAAGTACTAAAACTAGCTTTCCTGTGGAGTGTGACGGTTACTCTTTCGGCTCTAGATCTTCTGCGAGTGATTCATGTAACTGGAAATGATGCTCCGGGTATCTTCAGTAGCTCTGCTTGCGTAAGAGCAGGAGGAGACGTCTCCAACATGGCAGAGGGGCTTAAGTCTCATCTCATTCGCCTGATTGGAAATCTGTGTTACAAGAATAAAGACAACCAAGACAAGGTAAGATAGCGTCTTAGCTTGTGTCATATACACATGGCTTCATTAGAATATGGCATTTATAACTTACATTCATTTTGGAGTAAGACCTTGAGGTGCTTTAAGGTATTGGGAAGATGTGTGTGTGTGTGTGTGTGTGTGTGTGTGTGTGCATGCGCATGCATCTATCTATATCTTATATAACGTATTACATAAAATAGTATGTAGTAGATATTTTTCACACAAATATTAGAGTCTGTATTTGTGTAGTTTCATTTTGTCTTTGTTCTGAGTGTGTTGAGAGGCCTTCTGTCTTGGCAGTCCCCAGCGCTTGTCCACAGCCTGTGCACATAGATACTCTAATGTCACTTACTGAACAGCGAATGAAAATAAGTGTTCAGTAACCCTAGAAAGAATGTCAGCACATCCTAGGGATTTGAAAAGTCATAAGTTATTGTTGGCTATTAAGAAGAACAACCTTATGCCAGTGGCCTACATTTATGAAGGATTACATCAGAAGCCCTTTCTTGGAGATGTTTTGATTTTTTGTTTTGTTTTGTTTTTAGGTGGATTTAGTACAGGGTCTGCAGGGTCTCACTACACAGATCGGACTTGTAGTGATCAGCCTGTTTTCAGCCTCCCAGGTGCTGGGATTACAGGTGTGTGCCACCATGCCCAGTCTGAAATTAACTGTCGTCTTTTTTTTTTTTTTTTTGTGGTACGAGGGATTAAACTCTGAACTCTGTGTTTGCCAGGCAGGCGCTTATTCTTCTGAGCTATCTCCCTGGCCTCTTGGAGATGTTTTGAAGTGGACATGAATTGAGTCTTAAATCTTTGAGAGCCCAGTAGACTGTTTTTGGAAACCGTCTGTGCTGGATGGAAGTACGTAATAGTTCTGATTATGCCGATTATGTGAGACGGCTATAAAAGGTTGTAGGAAGATCAGACCACATGGCGTGCATGGGCTAGTTCCTGTGCCTTCCTGAAGTTTTATTTTGGGTGGCATCCATTATAGCAAGTTTGTGGCAGATTCTTATTTATTTATTTATTTTTATTTTTTTTGGCGGAACCGAGTATTGAACTCAGACCCTTGCTCTTGCCAGGGTAGCGCTTATTCTATTGAGCCATCTCCCTGGCCCCTCAGATTATGTTTTCTAAGAAGTGAACAAAAATGTGAGTCATTGTATGTATTTTTCTGCAGCGTGGCTTTGCCACTCCCCCTTTAGGGATTGGCCTCTGTTTCTCCACTCTCTTGAATCCACCCAGGCCTTGCTCTTCTCTGAGCAAAAAATCATGGCGGCAGTGATCCAGTACCATTTCTAGCAGAGCCTTTCATTTACCGGCAGCTTTTATTTCTAGCTTCTCTGAAGCCAGTCACCATGTAAGAAGTGCTGATACCCTGAGATCCTTTTTGCTATGATTTGGTGACGTTTGTGTGGAAAAGCTCTGGAGATGAGAGGCAGTGAATAGAGAGGGAGTCTGGTCAAGAACACCTGACATATGAAGGAAGCACTCTTGGACATAGATGCAGCTTTGGTGCCGTGCCTGCCCAGCGATGCCACTTAGCTCAGGCAAGACCTGTCCTGAATTTGTGACTCATGACATTGTAAGAAAAAGTGAGACATTTTGAGGGAAAGAAGTATAGGTTTCCTCCTATCAATAGCTAAGGAAGCTGTTACTGGACTTAACAGTTATAAACCCTGGAGAGAGACAGCTCTGTGAAGACACTAAGATTTGACACACAAGGCAAATTCTGGAGTGAAATTGACATTAGGAAAAGGCAGTGGCACCGTATTTGCCCTTCTGGGCAGTTGAAAGTGATAGAGAACCAATAATTTTTCCTAGCTTGAAGAATCAAGGACAGCTGGGGGACAACCACAGCCCCTGGAAAGTGCTGGGGACTTCAGGTGTGGTGAGCCTCAGAGTGTGTGCCTGAGCCGCCCACTCCTTGCTGTTGCCTGAATCCTGCAGAGCTGGGGCAGGCTCTGTCTCGCCAGCTGAGCTAAAGGCAGAATCATTTTACCGAGATTTGAGCCGCTGTTCTTCCATGGACAGCTTTACATCATCTAAATAAGATAATGTCCTGTAAAAACAAAACTACCAGTGCTTTTTCAAGAAATGTAGTAGAATCCAGAATTTCCATAGCAGAGCGAGCATTCATGGTATCCAGGATACAAACATCATTTGGCATACAGACGAATGAGGCTCCTTCTCAAGAGAACATGTAATCAATGAAAGGTGACCGTGATGTGACGTATATGTTGACAAGGGCTTTAAAACAGTCATTGTAGCTCAAGCTGCTGTATTAGTTGCTTTTGCCTTTTGCTGGATCCAAATACCCGGCATCCACAGCTTACTGGAGGGCCGGGGCTCACTTGGCTCGTGGGTTCTGAGGCTCAGTCTGTAGTCAGTGGACTCCACGGCAGAAACAGCACGGCAGAAGGCTGGCAGGGGACAGCCAATCATGTGGCCTCCAGAGACAGAGCAGGGATGGGGCAGAGGGCCAGACCCCAGGCCGTGGCCGCACGACCGTCCACACACCCCCTAACAGCGTGTGTGACTCTTACCTTGCTGGATGTCATGCCGCAAGTTGATGGTGACGCTTAGCTGTCTGATATAAGGGAAAATATACTTCATATGAATGAAAGACAGGATATCTCAGCAGAAAAATAGGAAGTATAATGGAGTTCTAGAAATGAAACCAAATGGAGGGCTGGTGAGATGGCTGAGTGGTCTAAAGCACCTACTTAGAACAAGCTTAGCAAAGCACAGGGACCACGGTTCAATCCCCCAGCACCACATGCCAGCCAGCCCCGCCCCCTGGTGGGCTGAGCTGGCCACACACACACACACACACACACACACACAAAGATAAATAAATAAAATAAATTAAAAAAAAAAACCAAATGGAGTTCTAGAAATGAAGCTCAGTTATCTGAAATTAAAAGGAATTGCTGAATTTGCTTAACACTCAGTGGAGACATTAGAGGACAGAGTCCGTAAACTTGGAGATGTGTCAGTAGAAGTCAGGTGGCCTGGAGAGCAGGAGAATAAAGATGTGAAGGACAGTAGACGCCTTTAAGGTGCCGGATGGGGGGGATTCGCTGTGTAGCAGGCATTAATGGAGTTACTCCTAGAGGACTCGTGCTTGCACAGTTGTGCTGCTTCTCCTTCGCCTCTAGCTTGCAGGAGTGCAGGATCCTCCTTGGAAAATTACTGGACTCATGTTTATGAAGGAAAGTTGATAAGAGAATAAGACACTTTACCTTTTTAATGACCCAGGCTGCCTTTCTGGAGCAGCACAGAAGCAGTGGTATTTCTGGTGTCGAACTATTCTTTTGTTGCTGGTTTGGACTGGCCTCTTATAGGAACAAAATGCAGTGCCCTTAAAAGGCTTATGCAATACCCCACTGAGGCCAGGGTCAGGTTGCACCCTAAGCAAACACGGAGTGCGCCCAAGTGTTGCTGTGTCCCGGGCACTGGGGCTCGCAGGAAGTCGCCGTTGTATCCCTGGCCTGTGCAGTTGCTAGTGGCACTGCTGACTTCTGAGCAAACACTCTCGAGGGGATGAAGGCTGAGCTCAACCTGTAGCATGAGAATATCTCTCCTTCTCCTGGCTTCTTTCCTGTGCCAACGAAGGCCTGTCCCCAAAAGCATTCGCTCGGCATGCTCTGTCCTTGCAGAGACCTTGAGACAACACCGTGGTCTTACTGTGGGTGTGCTGGGGCTTCGCTGTTCTTGTGGCTGAATCCTGGCTCCAGCTGGGTGGTGCCTTGGTCACTGTTACTGTGAGGAGTGAAGTTGGGAGCGCTCAGGTGGCTCTGTCATTTTGGAGAAGTGGGGGGTTAGCTACCCAGTCTCTGTCGTTGGCCGTTGATCCCCATTGTGTTGCCTGGATGGATCGTCCTGTTTTCATGCACGTTGGGGCCCATAGCAGTTAGGCTCCGTGTCCGCGTCAAGATCAAATGTATGAGGTGGGTGGGTTGGGTCATCACATTCACTTAGGATTCATCCTTCACACAGCAGAAATGGACAGGGGTGGTCACTCCTTGAGAGCCGTGGCACTCTGTGCTGCCCATTGTGCAGGGCAGGTTTTGTCAGTGTCACGCTGCCATCAGCCTTGCAGAGCCGCTATGCTCAGGGGCCGGAGTAGAATTTGGGGTGGTTGGCCTGTGAGCTCCCAGGCCGAGGTCCTTCTCCAGCACCCTGCTGCCTCTCTCGCTTGAGAACCTTTCAGGAGCTTGGAGGAAAGGGTTTGCAGTAGACTGTCTAAAGGACCTCGACCGGTTCAAGATGCTCTCCACACGTAAGATGCTTGCAGGAAAGCGCTCACGGAGGGCTGGGTCTGCAGCTCAGGGGGCGAGTGACTGCCTGGCACATGTGAGTCCTGGGTGAAATCCCCAGTGCTGCAGAAAAGAAGATCTCTTGGGCTCGTCCTGCCCCTTCGTTGTCTCCATCTGAACTAAGCACATTTTTCTTGAAGGACGTTTTGCTGGACAGTCACTTCATGTGGAGCATGGATATCATCCTTGTGTTGAAGGACTCTAAATTCTAACCTTCTCTCCTTTTGTACAACACAGGACTCTAAATTCTGTATAGTTACCTGACCGTATTTGTGAGCAGACTCATAAAAATAAAGTGACTTTCTAGGAGAAAATTAAGGTGCCTCTAAGTTTTGGGTTCTATAATTAATTTTGAAAGTCATTTATGTTTAAGATCCATTTGATTACATTCTAAATTGTAGTTTTTTTCCTATCTAAATTATTTTTCAATCTACGTAGTATAATATTTGCAAATAATTAAAAAATTTAAATTCCAAATTAGGCTTTGTAGATCTGAATGTGAATGTTTTTATTCATCTTAAATACAGTTTCATATTAATTTTACTATTGTTAAACATTCAGAACGTGCTGGTTTCCTCCATGCTATTTTAGAGGGAGGTGGAGCCTTTGGCTCTTCATACCTAGACAGGAGTAGCCCGGAACAGGCAGGCTGTTAGCTCCTCCGGTATGTTGTTCTGCCCA